GGGGGGTATACGGTTTGCCCCTGTTTGTAGGGGGTGAGGAGGTACGACTGGTAACAGGAGGGGAAGAAGGGGGATGTGGGAGGAGTTCTAGCACATCCCCCGGTCGGTGGGAGAGCTCCCGTGGTATTCGGGAGTGGTGGGTGATGGGGTGGCCAGCACATCTCCAGGAGGGCCAGCGATGCCATCTTTACTACCGTATTTAAGGACTGTGATGGTGGGGGATACGACCCCAGGAGCCATCGACACGGAAATCTTCCCTCCCCCCTCACAGTTCTCTGGTGTCTGATGTCATACTTCCAGTTCCACCATCTCCCACGAAATAAAGACAGCGATGTTAAGCCCTTTTTTATGGGTATCAAGTAGCTTCCTAAACTTAATATTTAAAACCTGGAGAGAGACTCGGCTTGGAATCCCGTCATATCTTTAGTATATATCTTTATTTCTTATTTTTTGTTTACAATTTCGTGGACCTGTGTCACCCTTGTGTTGATTGGGAGAGTTAGCGGGGAGGGAGAGGGCCTTGTAACCCTCTCCACTTTTTGTTAGTAACTTTTGACCGTCTCTTGAGATGTTTGTGGTCAGCCCGACGCCAAGCTCAGAATAAGACATCTTGATCGTGGGTGGAGATTGAGTCCTTACGACTAGTTCGAGTTTTGATGAGTTCAGTAGTGCAAAACCTCGATGACCTTGGCCACCAGTTGGGGGGGTGACCGTGGGGGTCTTCGTGTTTCCTCAGTTCTGGTTACAGCTGCTAAATTTTCTATTATTATTGTTTGATAATGTATTTATGTATACGTGCGCCCTTTTCTATATTGTTTATCAGGACATTCATGGGTTTTGTATGATATCTTGGGAGCTGTGGTGTGTATGATATCTTGGGAGCTGTGGTGTGTATGATGTCTTGGGAGCTGTGGTGTGTATGATGTCTTGGGAGCTGTGGTGTGTATGATGTCTTGGGAGCTGTGGTGTGTATGATGTCTTGGGAGCTGTGGTGTGTATGATATCTTGGGAGCTGTGGTGTGTATGATATCTTGGGAGCTGTGGTGTGTATGATGTCTTGGGAGCTGTGGTGTGTATGATGTCTTGGGAGCTGTGGTGTGTATGATGTCTTGGGAGCTGTGGTGTGTATGATGTCTTGGGAGCTGTGGTGTGTATGATATCTTGGGAGCTGTGGTGTGTATGATATCTTGGGAGCTGTGGTGTGTATGATGTCTTGGGAGCTGTGGTGTGTATGATGTCTTGGGAGCTGTGGTGTGTATGATGTCTTGGGAGCTGTGGTGTGTATGATGTCTTGGGAGCTGTGGTGTGTATGATATCTTGGGAGCTGTGGTGTGTATGATATCTTGGAAGCTGTGGGGTGTATGATATCTTGGGAGCTGTGGGTGTATGATATGTTGGGAGCTGTGGTGTGTATGATATCTTGGGAGCTGTGGGGTGTATGATACCTTGGAAGCTATGATGTGTATGATATCTTGGGAGCTGTGGTGTGTATGATTTCTTGGGAGGTGTGGTGTGTATGATATCTTGGAAGCTGTGGGGTGTATGATATCTTGGGAGCTGTGGGTGTATGATATGTTGGGAGCTGTGGTGTGTATGATATCTTGGGAGCTGTGGGGTGTATGATACCTTGGAAGCTATGATGTGTATGATATCTTGGGAGCTGTGGTGTGTATGATATGTTGGGAGCTGTGGTGTGTATGATATCTTGGGAGCTGTGGGGTGTATGATACCTTGGAAGCTATGATGTGTATGATATCTTGGGAGCTGTGGTGTGTATGATATCTTGGGAGCTGTGGTGTGTATGATATGTTGGGAGCTGTGATGTGTATGATATCTTGGGAGCTGTGGGGTGTATGATATCTTGGGAGCTGTGATGTGTATGATATCTTGGGAGCTGTGGTGTGTGTATGATATATTGGGAGCTGTGGTGTGTATGATATCTTGGGAGCTGTGGTGTGTATGATATCTTGGGAGGTGTGGTGTGTATGATATCTTGGGAGCTGTGGGGTGTATGATATCTTGGGAACTGTGGGGTGTATGATATCTTGGGAGCTGTGGAGTGTGTGATATCTTGGGAGCTGTGATGCGTATGATATCTTGGGAGCTGTGGTGTGTATGATATCTTGGGAGCTGTGGGGTGTATGATATCTTGGGAGGTGTGGTGTGTATGATACCTTGGGAACTGTGGTGTGTATGATATCTTGGGAGCTGTGGTGTGTATGATATCTTGGGAGCTGTGGTGTGTGTGATATCTTGGGAGCTGTGGTGTGTATGATATCTTGGGAGCTGTGATGCGTATGATATCTTGGGAGCTGTGGTGTGTATGATATCTTGGGAGCTGTGGGGTGTATGATATCTTGGGAGGTGTGGTGTGTAAGATACCTTGGGAACTGTGGTGTGTATGATATCTTGGGAGCTGTGGTGTACTCACCTAGTTGTACTCACCTAGTTATGTTTGCGGGGGTTGAACTCTGGCTCTTTGGTCCCGCCTCTCAACCGTGGTGTGTGTGCTCACCTATTGGTACCTGCAAGATCATGCTGTAGCTCTTGGTCACTGCTGTTCTGGGCCCCTGAGATGTCTCCCGGACACGGGAGACATCTCCCGTCACGCAGGGTGAAGTCGCACCTCCACAGATCTCCAGTATCAGCTCTTGATACTGGTAATGGCTCAAAAGGGCCACCACTTACGGGCTATTCATGCCCGTGCCACCTTTTAGGTGGCTTCATCTTCATCAATCAATCAATCGGCTTGGCGGAGCACCGCTCCAATGCCAGGTAAATCCACTACGGGTCTCCATAGCCCGTGCTACTTGCCCCGCTCCTGTGCCAGGTAAGTTACGGGCTCACCATAGCCCGTGCTACTTGCCCCGCTCCTGTGCCAGGTAAGTTACGGGCTCACCATAGCCCGTGCTACTTGCCCCGCTCCTGTGCCAGGTAAGTTACGGGCTCACCATAGCCCGTGCTACTTGCCCCTCTCCTGTGCCAGGTAAGTTACGGGCTCACCATAGCCCGTGCTACTTGCCCCGCTCCTGTGCCAGGTAAGTTACGGGCTCACCATAGCCCGTGCTACTTGCCCCGCTCCTGTGCCAGGTAAGTTACGGGCTCACCATAGCCCGTGCTACTTGCCCCGCTCCTGTGCCAGGTAAGTTACGGGCTCACCATAGCCCGTGCTACTTGCCCCGCTCCTGTGCCAGGTAAGTTACGGGCTCACCATAGCCCGTGCTGAATCTATAGCAACAACAATGGCTTGGCGCTGTCTCCTGGCAGTTCCCTTCCTGGCTGTGAACCCCAGAGAGGGGATTAATAGTGAGCATTGTGTGGGTTCTCCTCTCGTGTGTGTGGTGCTATTGTATTAGTATGCAAATGTTAACTCGAGCAGTGCTACAGTGGGTGAAACTTGCCTGAGATGCGCAGTTGTACATACTAATGAACCTGTAGTTGTTGTTGTTATAGATTCAGCTACTGGGAACCAAAAGTTCCAAGTAGCACGGGCTATGGTGAGCCCGTAGGGGACTTAACTGGCACAGGAGCGGGGCTGTAACTTGAACCTGTAGGGTTTGTGTTAAGTATATAGGAGTGTGGAGATAAACAAGGGCCCAATCACTTGGACTGGTCGGTGCAGCGCCGGGAGGCCTCGCTTCTTGCAGGTCGGCGTTCGATCCCTGATGGTTCAAGTGCTTGGATATTATTCCTTCCCTCCGTCCTTGCTCCTTGTCCCTGTCTGCTTAGCGCTTTCTCCTCTGAATTGAGTTTCCTCGAGACGATCTTGAGGTTATCTTGAGATTATTTCGGGGCTTAGCGACCCCGCGGCCCGGTCCTCGACCAGGCCTAATCGACAGTAGATATTGTTTGGCTTCACATCACCGTAAACCATGAAGGTTATGATGACATGTGGTGCTTTAGGTTATCTTATTCATGGATATGTTATCTTGCGAGGGCCCCGAGCCTCAGGGTGGCCCACTGACTGTTACTCAGGCGGTGGATGAGTGACGTGAGTGGCTTCAGCAGGGTGGAGTAGTGTGGTTCACTCTGTTCTTGAGTGAACAGAGCAGTTCTTAAGATGCTGAAGCATCTGAGTCGAGAGAGAGAGAGAGAGAGAGAGAGAGAGAGAGAGAGAGAGAGAGAGAGAGAGAGAGAGAGAGAGAGAGAGAGAGAGAGAGAGAGAGAGAGAGACGTGGCCTCATGGACGTTGGTCGCCACAACGAGGACAAAAGCTGACCAATCGTGAGCAGGTAACGAGACCCGTTGCCTGCAGAGAGGCCTACGATGGACTGGCACCACTAACGTCAAACCAGGCACTACCAGTGGCCTCAACAGGTGGCTCGATTAAACTACAATGTTCACAAACCCCCCGAAAAAATGTCCATCACGAAAGAAAATGTAAAACATCTAATTTTATCTCGAACTAAAACCTCTTAAACGCTCGAGCTGGAATAACGGCAATAAAATAATATGGATAAAGGTCAATTTTACAATGTGTATTATTTGGAACTTTTGTGAGTGGGAACTTGTAGCATTTTTCATCATTTTTTTCAAAGTTGTTTATGAATTCAAATGCTGCCTTGGCTTTCCTGTCAGTAACGACTTCGATTGGGGAGGTGGTGTAGTGCCGTGGTCGTCTTGGGGAGGTGGTGGAGTGTTGTGGTCGTCTTGGGGAGGTGGTGGAGTGCCGTGGTTGTCTTGGGGAGGTGGTGTAGTGCCGTGGTCGTCTTGGGGAGGTGGTGGAGTGTTGTGGTCGTCTTGGGGAGGTGGTGGAGTGTTGTGGTCGTCTTGGGGAGGTGGTGGAGTGCCGTGGTTGTCTTGGGGAGGTGGTGGAGTGCCGTTGTCGTCTTGGGGAGGTGGTGGAGTGCCGTTGTCGTCTTGGGGAGGTGGTGGAGTGCCGTTGTCGTCTTGGGGAGGTGGTGGAGTGCCGTTGTCGTCTTGGGGAGGTGGTGGAGTGCCGTGGTCGTCTTGGGGAGGTGGTGGAGTGTTGTGGTCGTCTTGGGGAGGTGGTGGAGTGCCGTGGTTGTCTTGGGGAGGTGGTGGAGTGCCGTTGTCGTCTTGGGGAGGTGGTGGAGTGCCATGGTCGTCTTGGAGAGGTGGTGGAGTGCCGTGGTCGTCTTGGGGAGGTGGTGGAGTGCCATGGTCGTCTTGGAGAGGTGGTGTAGTGCCGCAGTCGTCTTGGAGAGGTGGTGTAGTGCCGTAGTCGTCTTGGGGAGGTGGTGTAGTGCCGTAGTCGTCTTGGGGAGGTGGTGGAGTGCCGTTGTCGTCTTGGGGAGGTGGTGGAGTGCCGTTGTCGTCTTGGGGAGGTGGTGGAGTGCCGTTGTCGTCTTGGGGAGGTGGTGGAGTGCCGTGGTCGTCTTGGGGAGGTGGTGGAGTGCCGTGGTCGTCTTGGGGAGGTGGTGGAGTGCCGTTGTCGTCTTGGGGAGGTGGTGGAGTGCCATGGTCGTCTTGGAGAGGTGGTGGAGTGCCGTGGTCGTCTTGGGGAGGTGGTGGAGTGCCATGGTCGTCTTGGAGAGGTGGTGTAGTGCCGCAGTCGTCTTGGAGAGGTGGTGTAGTGCCGTAGTCGTCTTGGGGAGGTGGTGTAGTGCCGTAGTCGTCTTGGGGAGGTGGTGGAGTGCCGTTGTCGTCTTGGGGAGGTGGTGGAGTGCCGTTGTCGTCTTGGGGAGGTGGTGGAGTGCCGTTGTCGTCTTGGGGAGGTGGTGGAGTGCCGTGGTCGTCTTGGGGAGGTGGTGGAGTGCCGTGGTCGTCTTGGGGAGGTGGTGGAGTGCCGTTGTCGTCTTGGGGAGGTGGTGGAGTGCCGTTGTCGTCTTGGGGAGGTGGTGGAGTGCCGTGGTCGTCTTGGGGAGGTGGTGGAGTGCCGTTGTCGTCTTGGGGAGGTGGTGGAGTGCCGTTGTCGTCTTGGGGAGGTGGTGTAGTGCCGTAGTCGTCTTGGGGAGGTGGTGGAGTGCCGTTGTCGTCTTGGGGAGGTGGTGTAGTGCCGTAGTCGTCATCAGCGAGAGATGTGATGGTGGACTTAGGATGGTGGGTGTAGGAGGAGGCTAAGCAGGTGGATGTTCCTTCAAGGTGAAGAACTAACCAAAGGAGCCAAAGGAGGAGGTCACACAAGCTCTCCCTATTCCACCCACACAAAGTGGGTCTGAATGTGGGTAGGTTGGGTAGAATTTGGGCGTTGTTGTATATGCAGCTGGCTGCGGTTGGTGGGCGGAGTGCCCACTCAACAAGGCTGTTGTGGGGGCGCCCGTCTTAGATGTGTCCAGTAGTTTGGGTGTAATTACCAGGTGTTAATACCGGGAATTGGGCTCGTATATCACGGGTACAACGTACTGTTTACTGTGATGAATGGATGCTCGGGCTACGAGCACCGCTGGACTATTTATCACTGGTGGCTCCAAGAGGAGCCTGCGCACCCTGATGCTTTCATGTTTGTGAAGCTTCAGCTCCTGGGCCCCGAGTTATACAACTATTATCACTTTAATGTAAAAAATGTTTAATGTTCAAAACACTGTTATACCCGATAATGGTGGCGGTGTGAATGGCCGCCAACGTCTATAATTTGTGGTAAAAATGTTGTATATTTGTTAAAAGTCTGTGGTCGAATACACTCTCATAAACCTTTTTAGGAGGTTGGTCGTCTTGACAGTGCGGTCGTAAGAGATGGGGGTAGGGGGGGGGGAGGGGCCTGTGGGTGCAGGGATGGGGTGGGGGTCGTCTTGACAGTGCGGTCGTAAGAGATGGGGGTAGGGGGGGGGGAGGGGCCTGTGGGTGCAGGGATGGGGTGGGGGAGAGGTGGGGAAGGTAGAGGAAGAAGTATACGGGATATTTGGATGTAATACCGTAAACTAACCCGGTTTTGTAAGTCTACTGTAAAGCGCACATTATGCCTTGTGATGATGTAACGTGCTATATTACACGTTGCTGGACTAGATTGTCAACGACCAGGAACTGTCAAGTATTTACTTGTCTGCTTACGAAACCTTTATATCTTGATCGTGACGTCGTAGTTTACATTTGTTAAACAGTTTACAATCTTCGAAGCGCCGCGAGGTCATTCTCGCAGGCACTGTTCTCGCTGGCACTGTTCTCGCTGGCACTGTTCTCGCTGGCACTGTTCTCGCTGGCACTGTTCTCGCTGGCACTGTTCTCGCTGGCAAGAAACTGGCACTGTATGTGACAAGAGACTGTGTGGTGTGTGCCACATATATACAAATTAATTAATTAACTTACCAATGCTCAAAGTAATTAGTCCTTCTAACCTTGAGCATTATGCCTAACTACCCTACCATTGCCAAGATTAAATCACTACACCTGGCAGATTGAATACACGCTCATGAGGAATTAGTTTTTGAGCTAATTTCATGGGGGGTTCAAAGTTAAAAACATCCCAGGTATGTTAAATCTAATAAGTATGTTTGACTCCGATTTGCTATTAACGATGCTAATAAGTGTCTTATGAGTGATTTGTTGAGGGGTTAATTATTTACTTATGACCATTGTGACGGTAACGCGTTGGTGTTCGGCTGTTTCAAAAGCTAGGGGCAGGGCCTCGTCACATAATAGAAAAAAAAGAGAAAAGCTGGAGCTTTCGTCTGTGGTAAGGTAATGGGAAGACACACAAAACACAAGTAAATTAACAATGAAATTTTAATTACTCTAGAAAAACAAGACATGAATAAAGTTAAGCACATAAAATATAAAAGACAAGTCAACAAACGAAATAATATGAATAATCACTGGCAAATGAAAAGTTACGTTAAGACAAGTGAGTTACAGTAATAGCAAAATAAAATATGAATGCTGGAATATTGGCTTCGAGCTGCCACCTCCCTTAGTACACGAAAGCCAAGGCTTAGTCTACCAGCGAGAGATGTCAACTGCTTGGAGCACTGAGATATTCTGACAATATTAGCGCACTGCAGCCCAGACGTCAACTTGTGGCGGAGGCGGAGGGCAGGTGCGACGGGACACCCGCCAATCAGCGACAGGCAGGCAGAGGATGAGCAGTTTGCTGGTTACGGCGGTGGTAGGTAGCAGGTGTCACTGTGTGCTGGGTATGATTTGCTCTCTGGGCAAAACGTTTGGCTATACTTGGTGGACGTATCTTCTATAGTATCTTGTATATTGACGTACTTGTGTAGGGAAGAGCAGGCTCAATCTCTCTTGAAAGAGATTATCGTCACACCATTCTGATGATAATTTTAGATTCGGCTACTGGGAACAAAAGTTGCAAGTAGCACGGTCTATGGTGATCCCGTATTGGACTTATCTGCCACAGATGTGCCCACTATTCTCCGGTGTTCTTAATAATTATCCTGTTTGTGTTTACTTTATCTTCAGATTAAGTAAGCATTAATCCTTCTTTGAATTTGTTTTAATCATTTCTTATGTTAAACAGGAAAATTGTCTTTACTGTCTGAGGACAGAGTCTACCACTGTCCTAGGATGTTGTTGTTGTTATAGATTCAGCCACCCACAACAAGTTCCAAGTAGCACGGGCTATGGTGAGCCCGTAGCTTACCTGGCACAGGAGCGGGGCAAGTAGCACGGGCTATGGTGAGCCCGTAACTTACCTGGCACAGGAGCGGGGCAAGTAGCACGGGCTATGGTGAGCCCGTAACTTACCTGGCACAGGAGCGAGGCAAGTAGCACGGGCTATGGTGAGCCCGTAGACTGTCCTAGGACATGCATCGAGCTAATTTGTTTTATTAATTACTGTCTGTTTACCAATAATTGAAGTCGATTACAGAGCAAGTAGTCAATAACTGAGGAAGTTACGTTATGGAACCTTACAAATGTTATGTTTAATATATAAAAATTATAAAAAATATCTGATAATCACAAAAGAACTATATTAAAATAGTTACAATAAACACTAAAATGATTTTTATCTCATAATACAATAACAATATAAGCGGGCAGAAGCCACAAAAGAAAACTCCCAGAGATCCATGGACCTTGCCAAGAGGCCAGGAACGCTCCAAAGATGGCGCATCATAACGCTTACCCCTGGGATGGGGGACCTCCGGCCGAGGGAACCCGTAAAAAATAAAGTTACATCCGCGCTGCGTACTTGAGATTTCGCGAATGGTCTGCCAGGATACTCTTGCGAGTCTTGAAGACACAGTGAGTCTAGGGCGCGCGAACGTGGAAAAGTTTATCTTTTTAGTTCCTAAATCCGTGTTATGAAAGGGATCACAATCTAATGAGAGAGATTTGTCGCGGATTTAACCTGGCTTAAAGGGCCGCATGAAATTTGTTTTTACGACTCGCTAAAAAAAGGATGAAGAGTAGATTTGTCTGCGTGAGAGAGAGAGAGTCTGGTTTACACTCTTCCCACCTTGAGAAGGTTTTTGGTCTCGACTTAATTCCATATAAAAATATATTTTAAACAAACGTGTGTTTGTCATATATACACACACGAATATATATATATTGGTATGTGTATATCAACAAACACACACGGATATATATTCGTATATATTTATATTTATATATATATATATATATATATATATATATATATATATATATATATATATATATATATATATATATATATATATATATATATATGCAATTGACGATCACAAAACACTGATCATTTTATGCGGAAAATCCACAGAGAAATATGAAATGAGGTGAACGTTTCGGCTTTGTTAAAGCCTTTGTCAACACCAGACTGACTGAGAGTCAGTCTGGTGTTGACAAAGGCTTTAACAAAGCCGAAACGTTCACCTCATTTCATATTTCTCTGTGGATTTTCCGCATATATATATATATATATATATATATATATATATATATATATATATATATATATATATATATATATATATATATATATATATAATGTAGCAGTCTTTCTTTTAAACATATTTCCTAAATCGACAGAAAGTTTTAGATTTATGATTCTGACACGAATCTTCTTGGTTTTCTTCACTGAAGCAGAAAGAATAAAAAATAACTCTTCAAAGTTCATTTTCACTTACTATTTGGAGGTGGACTAAAGACTGGGTCTAAAGACTATTTGGGTCTAAAGACCCAAATTTTTCTTTTATTATCAGGGGAAAGCCCAGGATAAAATAAAGAACAAAAGGGATATGACCACGACATGCAAATTACTAAAAGGGAAGTAGATGAAGTGGACAATCACAGTCTTTCTATATGTAGAAATAATGGAAGCGGGAAACGCAAATGAGTTTTAAGAGATGTCAGGAAATACTCGTACCATGTACGGGAGGTCAACAAGCGGATTGCACTATAATTGGCTGTTGTGGAAGCCACCTCCGTCCACCACTCCCAGCTCACACTCGACAATGTGTTTCAAGGTTGTGGAAGCCACCTCCGTCCACCACTCCCAGCTAACACTCGACAATGTGTTTCAAGGTTGTGGAAGCCACCTCCGTCCACCACTCCCAGCTAACACTCGACAATGTGTTTCAAGGTTGTGGAAGCCACCTCCGTCCACCACTCCCAGCTAACACTCGACAATGTGTTTCAAGGTTGTGGAAGCCACCTCCGTCCACCACTCCCAGCTAACACTCGACATTGTGTTTCAAACGTCATGAAAGTTAAAATATCGAGCAACAGGTACAAACACAGGCCAGTAGGGGGGTGGGTACAGGGAACTGAACCTCACTCTCTCATAGGCACTGTTAGGTAAGCACCATCATCACTATCGCCAGTTTCTTATACAACCCTCTTCCACCATCCATCTACACTCCTCCATTACCCACTATCACCATTACCCACTATCACCATTACCCACTGTCACCATTACCCATTGTCACCGCCAATCTCTCTTCAAGAATCGTCTCGGAGGTCGACCTTGGAGACAGAAGATGAGTAGTCGTCATCCTGTCTTATTTCTCACTGTTAGTCGCGCAGTCTTCAGGCGACCAGCACTCGAGTCCTAAGCCGTCGTGTCCCAGGGCCGGTCCCTAAGTCCTAGCGTCGTGTCCCAGGGCCGGTCCCTAAGTCCTGGCGTCGTGTCCCAGGGCCGGTCCCTAAGTCCTGGCGTCGTGTCCCAGGGCCGGTCCCTAAGTCCTGGCGTCGTGTCCCAGGGCTGGTCTTAGTGTCCAGTGCTCCAGCAGGGACATTAAACCCCCAAAAATCGAGGAGCGTGCATAGCATTGCCAGCAGATAATACTTTCAGCTTTCTCTGTACTGTCCGTCCGTCCTTCCTTCTATCCGTCCGTCCTTCCTTCTATCCGTCCGTCCGTTCCCGATCCGTTGCTTGACAGTGGTCGCTTGTTGCCACGTTGCTAATGACCTCTCTTCTCTGTCGCGATGAGTTTTTGACGATCATTGTGCCTTCTTAATCCTTTACGAATTGAGTTCCAAGAACACCCCGAGCAGTTGCAGACTTATTATTATTATTGAGAAAATTCTGAGGCTTAATGGGATCGAACCTGCGTCCCTGAACCTTTCCTAAATTCATCACGGTTTTGGGATTTGATTTTATTATATAACTTGATCAGTCTTCGTTGCTTATCTTAAGTTTACTTCCAGTTATTCTTATCGAACGGGGGGGGGATCACTATACCAATTTCCAGTTGCCTTATACTTGGGAGACGGAACTCTGTCTTGGACAGAGTTCCGTCTTCCAAGGAACTTTATTTTCTGGCCAGATTGTGGCAAGAATCCGTGGAGGCGGTTGACAAATGGTTACCCTCGTGTTACGACAAGTGAATTACATTGGTCTTTGTTGGTTTACCGCAAGCAGTCCGCCGCGGTCGCTGATAGATGGCGTTTCTCCTTTCTGATAGATGAAAACGACTTGGGTGATAGATTGTCGACCCGCGGGTTTGAGTGCCTGTGACCCCCCCCCCCCCCCGCCCCTTAGGTGATAGATGGGACCTTGCAGAGGGAAGATTTGCAGTGTGCAAATTTGAATTTGCGACGGTGTTTCAGCCTTCATTGGAAGGCGAGATGGGGCTGTGTTATCGTTCATCGGTGGGCATGGGTTGATGGGGCTGTGTTATCGTTCATCGGTGGGTATGGGTTGATGGGGCTGTGTTATCGTTCATCGGTGGGCATGGGTTGATGGGGCTGTGTTATCGTTCATCGGTGGGTATGGGTTGATGGGCTGTGTTATCGTTCATCGGTGGGTATGAGTTGATGGGGCTGTGTTATCGTTCATCGGTGGGCATGGGTTGATGGGGCTGTGTTAAACGTTCATCGGTGGGCGTGGGATGATGGGGCTGTGTTATCGTTCATCGGTGGGCGTGGGTTGATGGGGCTGTTAAACGTTCATCGGTGGGCG